AGGAATGCCTGGCCCACCTTTAAGGGAGGAGGTGGAGGGAAGAGATGGGAAGCAGAGAGGGGAAGGGAGAAAGACAGGGGGAACGTACCGAGAAAGAGAAACAAACAAAAGTGGGGTTAGTAGTGGTTACGGATTAGTGTGCAAAGCCTGCCCGGCAGACCCCTGATGAAACACTCCCAAGAGCATGGAGGTTCAGGCTGCCCCACAGAAAGCACAAGCCCGCTGGGACAGTGGAGCTGGGACGGCCATGAGCCCAGCTGGCTGCGTGCAGCCTGCCGGGGCTCCCCACTCCTCTGGGGTGTGCTGGGCACCTCCTGCCCCACAGAGGGGTTTCACCCACATGGCACAGGTCATGGAGGCTTAGCCAGCCTGTGGTTATCCCATTCAGACCCTCCTGCCCTTGGGAAAGGCAATCTGCCTCAGCTCCACCGCAGAAGGTTCGTCTGCCGGGCTGGATGTATGCAGCCATTTTGCCTGCAGAGGCCAGGAAGGAGAGCAGGATTTGACCTGGAGTAGCGAGGTAGTGGTCACCCTCTGCAACCCCTTCACCGGCCAACATCCGCACAGGGCAGTGCAGACCCTGGGAAGGAGCAGCGGGAGGCAAGGCAGCTGCTTCCCAGACAAGGGGATGGTTAGCAAGTGTACTGCTGCCTCCTGCCCCAGGCACTGCAGGCAGGGCACCCTTGGGTGGACTGAAGGAGCCCAGGCACAAGGTTCAGCATCACAGACCCCAGCAGGAACAGCTCGTCATCCCAGAGCATCCCTGATAGAGGTAAGCAGTCTAGTAGGTGATGGGTTAGAGGTTTTTAGGGAATGAGGGCTGGGCGAAACGGAGGGGAAACAGTGGTGGGGGCAGAGGGGATCTCCTGGCTGAAGTATTAGGTCTGAGCAGGCACCAAAAGAAAGGCACAACGGTGTTATGCAGCATTAATTAGGGTACAGGTGAGGGAGAGAAAGGGGCAGAGGAGGAGGAGGAGAAATTGCCAGTTCCAACTCCCCAGAGGGAGATCCCCCATTCGGTGGACAACCCCACTTCAATTCAGTGGCCCATCTCTTCCCACCTCGTGCCCTGCTGTGACCACACATGGACACCTGTGGTTGGGGCATTGGAACGGTCTCTGCTCAGCAACCTCCTCCAGCTGCATCCCTCCACCCACTTCCCCAAACTCCCCCGTCACCACAGGGCACTAAGGCAGCAAGGATGGGGAGTTAGGGAACAGGGTGTTGTATTCTTCCTGAAAAGTAATGTCTCTGAGTCTCCGGAAAGCCAGAAACGTGAGGAAGCCCTGTGAGGAGACAGAGGGGTGTGGGGATGAGAATCAGTAAGGAAGAGCAAACCAGAGCTTGTGATTGATATAAAAACCCCAAGGAACTGGAGGAAAAGGACACCTATTTAGCCTACCACAAGCCTGTGCATTGGGGAGGACCACTGCAGCTGGTGGCACCTCAAACAGGGTCCTAGGGGACCACTTGCAAAAGCCTTACTCCTTGTCACCTTCTGCTGGAGCTTGCAAGGGGATTTCGGCAGCACTTCAGTGCAGGACACTGCTCGTGGGGGGACATGCACACTGCTGTCCCTTGCCCCTGCTTGGTGTCACCTTGGCGAGGGTGCTGACCACACAACCCTTTGCAGCCCCCCTTCCTCTCTGATAGCTTCGTGGACTTATGGCAGCCTTCCTACCTGGCCCCTGCCCAATGTTAAGACTCGTAGGGAGAGGAGAAGATAAAGCCACCAGGACTTACACAGGGAGACTGGCCTAAAATGCCTTCCTGCTCAGCACTATCCTGTCACTTCAGACAAAAAGCACTCAGGCTTGGTGTTTTCAGAGACAGGAGGAAATCATGGGGATGCTTTTATTGTACACCCCAGTTTTCTTCCAGGAAACTAGCAATATGGAACTGCTGGGGAAAGGGCAGTCTTAAGAGTCAGCACCATCACCTTCCTCAAAGGTGACCCAGTGAGGCAGAGCTGCAGTTGTGGGTGCAGAGGGAGAGCCTAGAGGGACACGGATCACAGCCTCACGTGGCCACTGATGACATCTCACATGACGGGAGAAAAGCAGAGAGGGAGATGAGTGCAACCCCTGGCCTGGAGCTCCCTTCTCCGCTTAACGTCTGTGAGGTGAAAATGCTGTTGAAGTCCTCTGACGCACAAGGAAAATGATGCTTGGGGAGCTGGCTTGTCCAAGGTCACATTAGAGGTTTGTCAAGGACATTTCTTACTGGAATATGGGACCCTCTTTCCCATCTTGCTTATTAATGCTCTAGCACTTTGTACCACAAAAATTCTGGAGTCCTTATTTCCCAAATTGACCTCCTAACCACCTACCCTCCTGCTTTCCCTCTCAGAAGCCATGTGGACTGGGATCTCAGAGGGAATCAGTCTTAGCCAGTCACCTTCCATTCCCCACAAGCTAATACACTGCAGAGAACATCTGATCCAACATCATGGTTCCTTTACTCACCCAGATGAAGATGGAGAAGAATGAGAATGTGATGGCTGCTCGGGCTGCATCCCCTCCCTCATTCATTGGGTTGTCCTCTTCTTTTGAAGCTTGCCACTGGTTGGTCAGAAAGCAGAAGCCAACAAACCAGAGGAACGCCCAAAAGGCTGGGATGGACCACGAACAGCATGCCAAAGGGGAAGGGGAGAGAGATCAAGAAGGCATGTGTGAACAGAACATAAACACATCAGGTTTCTCTGGAAACTTCAACCCGACAAGACCGACCAGTATGTTCCAGACTGGGCCAAACTCTGACTGTCTAAGACCAAGCGAGCTGGCAGGCTCGCTGACAGCAAAATTGTCAAGGTGACGATAGGTGTCTGCAGAAAGTACCTCAGGAGAGTTCATTTGCTTGTGTTTGGATTGATCACAGGACTTGCATTTGGCCTTGGGAGGGAGCCTGAAGGGCTTCCAGCACAGGAGTGATCACCTGGGCTCTCTGAAACAGCCACTGCTTCACAACCCTGTCCTGCAAGGACAAGCAAAGAGCAATTCCTTCCAAGGGAGCTGCAAAGAGCAGGAAGCAGCCAGTCTGCAATTGTACAGAGACCAGCCTTTGCTCAGGACACACGGACTAAGGGTGCGTAGTGATAGGACAAGGGGAAATGGCTTTAAACTGAAAGAGGGCAGATTTCGATTAGATCTAAGGAAGTAATTCTTCCCACCGGAACAAGTTGCCCAGAGAAGTTGTGGATGCCCCATCCCTGGAAGTGTTGAAGGCCAGGCTGGATGAGGCTTTGAGCAACCTGACCTACAGGAAGGTGTCCCTGCCTATGGCAGGGCGATTGGAACTAGATGATCTTTAAGGTCCCTTCCAACCAAAACTATTCTATGATTCTATGAAACATGCATTCCTACATGGCAGCAAAACAGTGTTCAGTCCTTCCCTTTCCCTTTCTCTTGTTAGCTGTACACAGGTCTGCTAGGCAAGAGGCTAACTGTGAACAAACTTGCAAGCCAGAAGTCATAAACAAGTTCAGATGCTGCACCTGATCCTTCTCTTGCTCCCTTCGTGGCCCCTTTGACAAACTGTGGGGGAACCCTGATGTGGAGAAGTTTGCCTCTATGGCTGGACCAAGCCAGGAGAGCGACTCAGGATCACAGCACAAGAACAAAGCGCCTCCTCATCATGCTGCTGACGGGCGTTACACATGTGCGTACACACGCACCATTGCTCTGTCCGTCGCTTCAACACACGCTGGGGAGGGTGAGATCTGACTATAAGTCAGAATAAGCCTCAGGGCTGGATGAGGTCCTGCAGAACTATTCCTGTGGAGAATGCCAGGTAACCTAGGAGGAATGGTTTAGTCAGACTGCATGAAATCTTCCACTTTTTTTAATGTCAAAATAGATAGGGCTCAATCACCTGGAGCTGGAAACGAAGGACGTACCAGCTCCAGAGGCATCAACACTTGGCCTTAGCAAGTGCATGCATGCAGGGAGGCAAGACCTGCTGAGCCTGAAGGGCTCCCAGAGCTACGCCTATGGAGAAGAGCAGAGAGGCATCAGCCAGATGGGCTGAGAAGAGAAAGGGAAAGAAAAGGAGAGAGAAGGCCTGAGAGAGTAAGACCAAAGACCTCTCTGCTAGAAAGAATCTGGCCTGCAAGGCAGCAGAAGCTCCCTCCCTCTCCCTAGCCATCGGAGGAGAGGAGCACTATGGCCAGAAAGCTCACCCGAGACTCCGATGTCCGAGAGCACTGCCTTCTTGCGGTCCTTGACGCTGCTGATCTGCGGGAAGTAGGCATCCAGAGCCAGGTAAAGAAGGCAGCTGAGGAAGGCGAGGACACCCACGGTAATGCCATAGTTGCAGGCATTGTGATTGCGATTGAAAATGCAGTGCTCTTGCGTCTCGTCCGGGCGGTTCACGTATCCTTCATTGACAATGGAGCCGAACACCACGATGGAGAACACCTGGTGGAGAGGAAGGCAGGAGACACATCAGGGCAAGCCCCATCTCTCTGGTCCAGCACAAAGGAGCAGAGCTCTGCAGGGGCCAGACACCCCTCGCTGGCACCTCTCTGCTCTGCTGAGCTCCCATTCTGCTGCCTTGCCTGGGCTGTAGCCACAGGGAATTTACTGGGGAAATGGTCTCATTTTATTTCTGAGGATTAACTTAAAATAGGACACTTTTAGATTGAGCCTTTTTATCCATCTGATCTAAGGCAACGTAAAGCAGTCACAGTCTGGAGTAAGGGTGGCTTCCCACAGACACACAGGGAGGAGCCGTAGAGTGTAAATTAGAAGGATTTGGTGTGAGTGCCTGTGTACAAGGGCTCCCAGTAGTGGAAATCCTCTTAGTCTGCACTTATTCTCCCACCCACTCCTTTCCCTTCTAGGAATTCATTGTTTCTACCACGCGTTGATGTTCACTAATTTTATCTATCCAGCTACTATGCTCTTTTCCCCATCCACCCTCCCACGACCCACAGCCCTGCTCGCTCTGCAGCTCCGTTCTGCCAGGCTCCCGCTTTCCCCACCTCTCTGCAGGTCACACACCTCTCTGCACCAGTTTTCCATCAGCCCAGCCCATGACACCACCTATCCTTCTGCCCACTCACCCATCCACCAACACCCTCCAACCTTCCCCACGGATTTCAAGGGCCAAACATCCCCCCTCCAGGTCCACCCGACAGGGCCACCGTGAGTCCTCCCTACCCGTCACCACCACTGCCACTGCGTGTTATTTTAAATCAGGTAGAATTAAAGATGAGTCCAGGTAGAAATGCCATAATCCACAGTTGCCGGTCTAATCTTCGCTCACGGGCTTAGCCTTTGTCGCCTGCCACAAGGCTGTCCCTCTTTGACACAGCACGTTCACGAAAGTAGAGAGCTATTTACAGCAGCCCCAGTCCTGCATCTCAAATAAACAGCTTCCCCTCGCAGCCACAGGAGAAAGAGGGCAAGATTAAGGCAGCATGTACAGATTTTTCTTTGCAGGGCATCTTGAGACCCTCAGTAGGAACAGCCCATCCGCATGCTGCCTGCGAGGGCTCCCAGAAGATGGGAAACGGGACCTCAAGCATGAAGTGAACATACATATGACGTGCACTAGGATGTCACCAGGGCACTCTGCAAGCCTGGGAGTTGTCGGCACAACAAGAGCCTGGCACCCTTGGAACCACCACCCCAATCTCCAAGGAGAAGCAGCACGCAAGAAGATGAGGTGGCCAAGTTTCCTGCAGGGAGTGGAGGTAGATCTGAGGGTTTGTTAGGTCAGAAGGACCCCAGTGCCACTTAACCCAACCAAGCACCAGAAAAGGACATGGCAGACAACCCAGAAAGCGGAGAAGCAGCTTTGTGAGTGCAGGGAAAATTAACCTTTGATTAATGCAAACCAAACACACCATCTGTCATCGGTGGGGTTGGATGTCTGAGATCCACAGCACAGACCTCTGCTATTTGACCTGCGGCGTCAAGAACCAGAGGAAAAACCTTACTCACGGTCCCCAACAGCCCTTGGGCAGATACTCAATGCTGACCACATTTCAGTTGCCAAGCTCTAATAAGTACCCCCTGACACCAATACTATTTTTTCACCCCAAGGCTCATAATTGGGTCACACTTGGGTTGCTGAGACTGGGCGTATTTTTGACACACTAGAGCAAACTAAAAAGCTGGAAGCTCGTGCTCCTAAGCATGGGGACTGTATGGGTTCTCTGAAAGTTCCCAAGAGCTTTTTAAGCTTAGAAGTAAAACAAGTGATTTGTCCCCCTCCTTCTTCTTCTTGGAAATCGAGATTGATCATACGTTGTAGAAATTGCCCGTGAAAATTAAATAAAAATCTCTTCTGCCTGAAGCAAAGGTCTGGTCTTCAAAATATCAGCCTGAATGGTTTGGAAAGCAGCAAAATTGCACACAATTACAGCCAGGCTCTTTCAGTGGGAAGTCTCACACACCACAACAGGCTGGGCTGACAGGTCTGCTTAGGACCATTGGCAGTAACACGGTGTTCCTCTAACCCAAGGGGGAGCTGACAGACTCCTGAAGTGACTTCCCAATGCAAGGCTGTGACCAGCGCCAATGCTGCCACCTAAAGTACCAACCTCCATATATTTGGATTATAAAGTGGGTGCCCTGTTTTCCACAACATTAGACAGAAAACGTATCTTCTCTTTGGAAGATAAGAAACGGACTCAAAAGTGGCATAGTCTGGTGTTCAGTTTCGGTTTAGGGCTCAAAACTGGTAAAACATCGATTTCCTGAGTTGAGGCAACCCTTGCAACCCTTGCAGCAAGCTGTATTGTAAGTCTCTGCTTACTCATTTGGGATGAATGAACTTCTATAATGGCCTCTCCCCAGAGACACCTCTGTTTTCTCTGCTCATATTCCTGATATACATCTTCCGTCTGCTCTTATCTTTGGGTTTGCTGCTGGCCTGGAAGAGCTCTCATCTGCAAGTAAACGAAGCAGAACGATTCTTTTTTGCATTTGCTCTTTTATACCTTTTTATGTTGGCCCATCGTAAAGACAGAGCTCAGAGCCATGAAACCAGAGACATATCTCCCTCTCCCTAATTTTCAAGCAGAAGTTGCATTCCTAACTTCCTTTCTCCATCTTTGGTCAGCCAAGATGCCACAACTTCTCTCCTATGAAGAGAAACCTTTTTTGCAGCCTGGAGGTATGATTTACCGGCAAGCATCTGATTTAAGATGATCTTAGGAGTTTTCTGGAAAGATTCCACTAAGGATATTCTCAGTTGTGAGCAGAACAAGTCACTGCAGATGCTTATCTTCTGTGTCCTGACACAGCCACCCCAAAGTATTCTTTGGCCATAGGAAATTTTTCTATGGACCAAAGCACAGTAGCTTAAGGGATGTCTCCTTCTCGACGTGTTTTCCTCACCATTGGTATCGGCTCTGGTCCATGCTCCACTTCCCAGCGCTGCAGAGGGGGCAAAGTCAGTGGCAGTGGAGAGGGCTTGCTCCCTGTGCCAGCCCTCCACCACCCTCACAGCACTGCAAAATGCTGTGAGGATCCACTGTGCACAGAAGCCTTGAGCTGGACAGGATAACACCGACTGGGCAAGAAGGGGCAGGATCAAAACAGAGGTTTCAGACCGACAGGCAGAGCTGGACAGCATAAGAGGCGATCGCTGCTGCTGCTGCTGACAGGCAGCGTCACCCGTTTTATCCCTGTGATGTCTGTACCCAGAAACTGTTGCGATGGGTGCACAGACAAACAATTTTCTAGAATAAATTATAATTATGAACTCACAGATCTCGCAGCCCTCAGGAGAAACTGTTGCGCGCTTAGTCTGTGGCAGCTACTTCTTGTTAGTAAGGAGGCGGGTGGGTGGAAGCTCAATGATGTAGCGAGTTGTCTTAGAAAATGCAAGTATTTTTTTATTTCATAGAATCGTAGAATCACAGAATCATAGAATGGTTTGGGTTGGAAGGGACCTTAAAGATCATCTAGTTCCAACCGCCCTGCCATGGGCAGGGACACCTTCCACTAGGTCAGGTTGCTCAAAGCCTCATCCAGCCTGGCCTTGAAGACTTCCAAGGATGGGACATCCACAGCTTCTCTGGGCAACCTGTTCAATCTGTGCCCATGCAAAGATGATCCAGGCAGCAGGTGCAGCATGAACGTCTGCCCAGATTATAAACAGAGCACCAAGTCTGCAAGGATGAAGCATTTACATTCCCACTCCCATCACATCTGCAGCACTTCTGAAGAAATGCCAGCTACCAGCAGCACCTTGCCTCTCTGCGTTACCACTGCTTGTTCCTTCTACCCCCCTTTGGCATAGTGAATCCTTGCTGCACAAAGTCTTGCCTACAGCCACTAATAAAATGGTCCAAAATACACGTCCAGCTGCAAAGAGGAGGCGAGGAGAAGATGTCAGGAGTTTTCTCCTGACCAAGCACTGAGACGCAGTGGAGTGACTTGTCTGAAGGCTGACAGGAGGCGGGCGCAAAGCACTGCATCCTGACACTCCCAAACGCAGCCCATCCTTCCGCTCCGCAGGGAGAGATCATTAACCACTTTCCTACGCTTGGCGACAAAAACCATCCATCCATCCCCAGCTTTGCGCACCTGAGTGGCCTCATTTCGTCAGCGAGGCTGCTTAAGTCAGTTAACAGGACTTGAAGTAACCAGATTTTTAGGTTGAGAGGGTTTCCTTAAGCCTCCAAAAGCAACGCTAATTGGGCAGGTGTGCAGCCTGTCTGGAGATGTGCATTCAAGTACGCTCAAAAAAAGGGGCAGAAAACAGCACATGAAAAAGATGTGATCAACCAACTCAGCATTGCTGCTGGGACACGGCTTTTATCAACTTCACTGCTCCTTAAACATCACAACTACACAGGTTGTTGCAGTGATTTTCCTAAACTTCTGTTTTCATCAAAGAGCTCCGAGACAGCAAGGGAAGCCCAGAGTCAGGCACTTTGCAAAGCTGACAGAGACAGAGCGACGTGTCAAAAGACGCAGCAAAACGAATATAGTGCTGAGCACTGCAGAGAGGAGACGGGGAGAGGCTGAGGGTTTCCCTGTCCTGGTTTCTCAAGGAGCTCGTGCTGGCCATTACAGGCATGTAAGGGCTCACTATGGTGAGCAAAGTACAGAACAGGCAAAGGCTGCATCCCACCAAAAAAGGCCTCTCTATTTTTTTTCTCTCACTGAACTGGGGGATCTGATTTTGCCCACCTCCTCGCTACAGGCTCAGCCTCGCAGAAAGCCAGGCGAAACCTCCTGAGCATCATGTGAGGCTTTCCACCACACTGCCCATCCCCAGTTCTGCATCAGATGCTCCTGAGCATCATGTGATGGAGCTACAGCATGGCCAGCCTCCGGCGGGGCACTAGGATTTTCCTATATCTCATCCTGGGAGTCTGTCATGCTGCCTCCTGACTTCATCCCTGAGATCCCCACAATGACTGTGGTGGGGATGAGGCTGAAGAGGGTTTCTGCCAAGCCACTTGCTCAGGCTCACTGCAAAGCCCTCCAGTCACAGGCTCTGTCGCACTGCATGTTGCCTCTCGCCACCCTCCAAACCCCCTTTTTATTCTATTATAGAGAGGAAATAGTTTGGTGACATAATATTCCTCGTGGGACTTCAAATCAAATCCACCTCGGGCAGAATGAAGCAATAACCTCTTCTGTGTCTGATCTGGTAATGACCAGCAGTAACTCTGTTTAAAGCAAGAGCAGGGGAGAGTGCAAACCATAAACTGGCAGAGCTGATCTGGCTTTCATTGTCATTTAGCCACTCGCAAATGGAGCCTCTGGAAAGCTTTGGGAAGCCCTGCACAGACATGGATTATTATTATTATTACCATCATCATCATTAGATCTACTTGTATTTAGTTCATTTTGAAGAAAACATATGCAGCTTTTGACACACATGGGACTGGCAGCTTGGAAACAGGCGGCCTCTATTTATTGCCTGCAGCCGGCACTACGCAGGCACCAAACGACTTCTGCCCACGGTCTCGATGCCGTGTCTGCGCCCTGTGCCACTGCAGGAGGGGGCCAGCCTCCCCATATCCATCTGTACCTGATTCCCCTGAGCACGGGATGGGTAAAGAGCACAGGTACAGCAGCACCTCCCCCCCAGCTCACCCTCCCTGCCCAGCAGCCACATGGCACCAGCTCCCCAGTCAGGGCTGAGCCAGAGCAGGTGATGGAGGGGAGAAAGGCTCTGCATCTCTTAATTCCTGCCACGGGATCTGGGACGGGCTTTCCCAGCCAGCCGGCTTTTTTTCACACATGGCTTGGCAGCTGACCATTAACTCTTCCGCCTCCCGCCAGACCTGTGCCCAGGTCGACCTTCCCCCTCACAGCAGCCCAAGCCCCGGGCAATGCTGTGGCACTCTGGGAGCCAGGAAGCACCGAGAAGCCTCCGACAACAGCCAGGTGTGGGCTGAGCAGCCGTGTGTGCCACCCTGGGGAGGGAGGAAGGGCTTTCCCTTGGGAAGATGCCCACTGGTATAACAGGGAACTCTGTCCCAGAGAGTGATTTCAGGAAGCTCCATCCAGTCTCGCAGGTCTCACGCTCTTCTTGTTGTCAAACAGAATCTTCTGTCCCACTGCTACTAGTGACAGCTCCCCATGGCCATATCTCCGTGGTAGTATCCAGGTCCTTCTGTGCTTTCCAGATGGTCCCTATATCACCAGGTTGCTGCTCAGCGAAGTGACCGCCCAAAAGTCACATCTTTTTCCTCAAGGAAGAGTTCAGTTTTCTTTCTAGCAACACATTCTCTCCTTGGCTTGGCTGTGCCAACCTAGGTGGAGGGCCACATCCACTGCCACCTGCGTCTGCTCCTCTCACCGCTACGTTAATCCTCTCTGCTGCCTTGTCTTGCCACAAATGTTTGCCTTAGCCACATCTCATCACCCTGCTGTTTCTCTGCTCCTCATCTGTATGCCTCTCATGTTTTGAAATGGCATATTACATATATGATTTATCTTTTTTTTTTTTTCTCGTATTTCTGACTGCCTTTGGTCCCTATGTGCTGTTTCTCAGATTTTTGTCTGCAAATGCCATTAACGAGAGACTAGTTCCTGCTCCAAGATCTTTCCTGGAAATGCTATATGGAAACAATACGACCCGCTGTATCCAACCCCAAATCACCCCATGGCTCTGCACATCTATTGCTTGTCTTCTCATGTGGCCTCTCACTCAACCCCAGTGACAGTGATCCCTAAAAAACCCTTTTGAAGCCGACCCAACAAAGGGGATCCCATGAAGAACCATACCTAGGGCTTGACCCAAAGCCCATGCTTTGAACCGCCACATTTCTTTCGTCATGCACCAATGTATCTCACAAGCACACAGCCAGCCAGCACGGCTGTGGCAAAAATCACATGGAGGAGCAGAGGCTGAGAGCATCAGCTATGGTCCACAAACACGGGGAACATCTCAGCTAAATTTAGCCAGGACAGAAAGAAGGTGGAAGTTGCAGCTGGTTTCAGACTAATGGGGCCCCTGGACTCCAAGGCTTCGTTCACGAAGGGCAGCATGGGGGGAAGAGGCAAGGGATATTCTAAGCAGGGCATCAGCGTGGTGAGCCAGGGACCTGCCAGCAAGGCAGGAGACAGGGCTCCCTGCCACACTGGGGCTTGCCCCCGTCCTCCAGTTTGCAGGTGCCAGCCTGTCGTGGCGAGGCCGGGGACGTAGTTCCCGTCCTTCCCCTGCCTTGTTTGCTCAAATGGAGCTGCCTGGGACGGGACGTGCCTGCAGAGACAGGGGACAGCACTTCCCATCCTGGCTCGAAATGTCTGTGTGCACCCACCAGCCAGGGAACGCAGTGGCAATGGCAGCAGGTGATGGAGGAGGAGGTGAAGGGCAGGCAGCACTTCTCCTCACCAAACCTTCCTCTTCAGGGCTAATGCCCTTGGCATCAGAGATAAATTTGATGTCTCAATCCGTGTGGCAAGTTTTAATGGGCTGCTCTGCCTGCTCAGCTGCAGTTGGAAATACTCTCACCCAACCCACCTAGCTGGGCCTGCTTCCAAAAAGCGAGTTACTTTTGCCTTGTTAGGCTTTTACATCAAGCAGTACTTCAGTTCCTCCAGTGAGCAGGTTTCCAAGCAGTCAGGAGTGCCTGGAACAACCTGTTTCAATTAGCATTTTACTTATTTATGGAGCCAGCGCTACCTCCAATGCCTGCAGGTTGCAAAGGAGCCTCCCAGCTCCCCCGCGCTGGCTGCGGAGAGCACTGTGGGTCAGGGCGAGGTGGGATTACACGGGGATGTGCCCACGCTCGCCAGCTTTATTTCAAGAATGATCCTGGAGCCACATACTGTAGCACAGCTCCAGCTCGGTGCAGGTCACCTAGCTCCACTATCTCCAGCAGTAGCATCACTAGCTCCAGCTGCTGCGTCATCAAAGTGGGCTGAAAGCAGATTTATATGGCAGGGTGGTAAAAAATGCATCCATGCACCCATGTCCTGTCTATTGTAGGGCACCAGCTGTGTGATGCAGCTCAGCTCAGGGCATGCCTCGTGTTGCAGCACGGCGTGGAGCGATGCCTTGAAAGACCAGGACTCAGAGTAAACCCAGCCACCCACCGTAACAGGGCAAGTTGCTTGTCTTCTCTTCATCACTGCTGGGAATAGGGAGGGAGTTGTTCTGCCCTTCCCCACAGAGAAGTGAGGAAGCCTGTGAGATCTTCCAGCAGCGCATTGCTTTCATTGTGCAAGCCTCAGTCCAGCCAGACTGGACAAGTGCCCTCACTGCAAGATCCAGATGCCCTTGGAGGCATCCTCAGCAGACATGCTCAGGAGGGACTGCTCTATAGGGCTGTCTCCCTGTGCTACATCCAAACAAGAGTATCTGGGGCAGGCAGCTGCAGAGAAATGGCTCAGCTGAGGCTGAACATCCAAACCTGACACAGGCGCTGTGCAGGACCACCACCACTTGCCAGCACCGATGCCAGGCAATATTTCTGTAGGGAGATGCATACTTATTCTGTCGTGCCTGACCTTTGAGGCACCCAAGAAACCTGAGCTGCCTTGTAACGCTGTCACAGTGGACAGATACTCCAGAATTGCTAACCTCTTTCCAGAGTTTAGCATCCTCCTTGTCAAACCTATCCCGTGTCCTCCTCAGCAAGGAGCAATATAAATAACCTTCAGTCAATCCATCTGCTCCTGATCCTGCAGCTCTCCCTGGAGATTTGCTGCCGTCTCAGTTGGGCTGCAAACTCCATGGGCAGGAACCAGTTTTGCTGCCCATTGGTAGAAAGCCATACACACCTCTGTGTCATCATAAAGTCTGCTAAAAGGCAGCATGACCTGAGCACAAGGTCACTGCCTGGGGAAGTGATCATGAGAATTTCTGCTCTCAGTGAAAGCTCATCACATGAAATGAGCCGGAAGGAGTCTCCAGCTTGCCCTGGGGAGATGACAGACCACCCACGCCATAAACAGAATAAAGGCAAACAAGATCTCAGGAGATGGCAGGCAAGGTGCTTCCAGTGCATGCCAGAGTGGGTGAAAGGAAGGACTCTCAAAGGGACCACAGAGAGGGAGCGCCCTTTGCCACCAGAAGAGTTTGGCTCATAGAGCCTGGCGATAGAAACGCTAAGTGCGGATGCAATCACAGTCTATAAATATACCCAGAGGAAAAGCATCATTTAAATTGAAGGGCACAAGAGCACAAAAGCAAATGGATAAAAACTCAGCCACAACCAGATTCACGGTGGAAGGCTCTGACCATTGGAGCCGCTGAACCCACAGCGGGAAGGGCCATGAACTAGTCTTTTTTCAGCAAAGTTCAACCAATTTATGGAAAAGGCCATAAAGAGTCTGATGCTTGTGAGAGCCTGAGATAGGACTTCAATGCCCATGAGGACTCCTCTTGGTCTCAGGTTAAAAAAAAGATCAAAACCACAACTAAATACGGGGAGAGAGCCTATGGGTCCCCAGCTTTGTGGAGGGGGAGATGCTCAGGAGGACAGACGACCAAGCCAGTGGAAAAGCAGGAGAAGGAACTTGTATTTTGGGAGAGAAGAGGTGCATGCATAGCCTTGCGCCATGGTGGCCAGGCCA